CCCCTTCATCTCCTCTTGCATCAAGGCTTCAAGGAGCTCCTTCTTCTACAGGAAAGCTCTAGTCTTGAAAGACGCAGCTCCATCATCCAGTTTCCTTCACGCAGTCGGCTGAGTGCTCGGCATTTGTCTACCCTCCATGTGCAGGGAGCGCCCAAAAGTGTTTGTCTGCAGAAGAGACAGATGGTGTGGAAACACACAAGCCTGTGTGAAGTGACAGAGGAAATGAGGAGATTCTCCCTTAAGGTTTACACTATGATGAGTTGGCATGTCGGCTGACAGGTGTACTTGTAACACCTTGAATCAAGGACCTGTTGCTCATGGTATCAGAAGGGCTATTTAGAGTCACCTAATTATCTCCTTCTACACATGCATGTTTATGAGCCAGCAATTGTATTAGTTCTCACACAAATTTAGTAGCTTTGCTTTTTATCTTGCTACAGAGAGAGAATAACAGCTAAATATACAGTACCACACGCCGACAAACACAGGAAAGAGGTTGGAAAAACTTTCTGATTGTAGCAGGGTCATAGGAAATACTGCTTTGATTTGTTTTTGTCAAAACTGCAAATGGGAACACTTTAAACTTCAGTTTGTCCTGATTAACCGTTAACACTGCATTGCCAACATTAAAACTGCTGATTCTAGACAATTCAAGTTTTTTTAAAAAAGAAATAAGGCAGGTTTTACTCAAATCTTCAAGCCATAAAACTACAAATAAATTCAAATTCCTATTCGCTTCCATCTCAATGCAAAATTACATGTGCTGCGAGCAGTAATCTGTGGAGTGTCTGTTCACTGTGCAGCTGACTCAGCTAACATGTTTTGTTCGTGTCTCATGTCTAATTTAATATATGGCAAAATGCTTCCAAGAAATAGACACTTAGTTATAGCTTATTCCTGGTGTGCTTTTCTACCCAGATCTGAATAGATAAAATAAGTACTTCTAGGTTTCCTACTTGAACACAGACAGGCCACAGTCCGCCCATAAGTTCCAATCAGGTTATATACATTTCAGCTTGAGGCTGGTGTCTGGCTACTTTAAGAAAAGAAGAGAAAGTTTGACAAAAACTCTTTTATTTCACGTTTTGTTTGTTTTTGTCATTGTTTTTTAATAAGCTTGACTTAGCTTAAAGACTGGCCCAGCCGCATTTCGTAAGATAACTAATCAACACCTTGTATCTCAAGATATGGTTTTACAGAGAATTATGTACTGTAATTATGTAACAGTGGTCAGATGTATTGTGCAGGGGCTTTAAGAAACACAGACAGACACACAGAGACACAAACTGAGACAGACAGACGAGAGACAAAACATATTGTCCCACTACTTCCACTACCTCTTTACTATTGCCTTCACACTTTCTTACCTGCTCCCTACTTTAACCTGTGAAAGACAAGGGGATAAACAGAGACTACTTATGTTTTCTCATGTCAAAAGCAGAGAAGGCTGATCTGATGAGCTTGTTGGGAAATGAGAGAAAAGAATAAAGAAGCAAAGAGGCGAAGGGAAGGGAAAAGCCAAGAGCTATAGAAGTAACACTGCAGATGGAGATAGGAGGTGAAATAAAGCAGCAGCTGTAATCTATTCCATTCAGGACTCAGGAGTGGGATAATGATAAGGCGAGCTAACTATGCCTTTAAATAAAACATATTGAGCCCTTGCAGTGGCTTGAGACACTCCTCGTCCTCGTGCCGCCTCCTCATGGGAACCTCTCCATCTGAAAGAGCAACTGTAATAAATTATCTTTATCTAGAATCCGTTGTGCCAAGGATGCTGACTCCTCAGGGACACTGCAGGCTCGTTTGGAACCGGTGCTTTTTTGAAACACTTGGTGTTGTCTGCACCACAATACGGTAATGAATCTAACATGGACAATGATGGAAAGCTTGAACAAGGCAGCATGATGAAGGAAAAGCCAAACCTGTACATGAGAGATTGAGAGCTTAGATGTGTCACGCAGTCTGTCTTTTGATTTTCCCGTGCCTGCCTATGTCTCCTCTGTTTCCTGGTTGTTTAAATTTGTTTGTTTATGCTTTGTTCACGTCTTTCTCTTTTTCATTTCAACATTGTACCATCGACAGCATAATTTTTTCCTCCATACCTGATGTGCTCACTCTGTTCAAGCCTGTATCAGTAATAATACAGTACAGTCTGGGGTTAATAAACCCTATACCTCTAAAAGTAGAATGGGCAAAAGGAAACTTTTGGATGAACTGAAAAAAATCAGCATATTATGGAATAAATTTAAACTTCTTTATGAAGACCTTAACTTTAAAAATGCTGCGTATTTTTCCTATTGATGCTTTGAGGCTCCTTACTCTTGGCTAACAGGGTATATTAACCACCAAATTTAAATTCTACTGACACAGAGTTGAAGGCTTACGGATTGGGACTGAATAGTTTATATTAATGTACAAATTTGTATTTTAGAATGTATTAGTTGTTTGTATTTGGATTGCTATGTTGATCTGTTTTCGAAGATTTGAAGTGAGACTCTATACAGAAGGGACATTGTTGCCCCATCATTAATTCATGGAATAAGGTCTGCACTGCTGAGGCGTCATTCTCGAGTGCTCCTGCTTAATTCCAAGTTTATATCCTTGTTATGTTGCCTAATATTTGTGTCAAAATTCTTGTGCAGTAGTGCGTGCCTCCCCTTAGGTTTGAGCACATGAGCTACAGAATGAACTACATGTATACAAGAGCTGTTGTGTACAATTTGATGACCAATTACCCTGACATTTGCAGATAAAAATGTACAGCACTGTAATTGATTTTCATTTGAAATATAAAAGGATAGAATGTCATATTCAAAGGTATGTTTTCATTACTGTATAATCACCTAGAAATTGGAATAGTTAAAATTAGCTGTTTTTATCCACAGAGGGAGTGAGTCCTCTTCTACGGAGTCCGCTGTGTTGAACTGACATGTTTCTACAGTAGCACAGAACAGACAAACATTGACTCTAGATAAGGCTCTTTGCGTTTTTCATGAGTTTCACAGCCACCATAGTTTCTTCTCTGCATCTGGTTGTGTCAAGGGTTTTCAGTTGGTTGCAATCTGTATGTGGCACTGTATTGTTGTGACTAACCAATTATAGCTAACCTGAAAACATATTTGTAGGAAATTCATGTGAAATTCAGTGAAGGTTCAACATCTCAACTTGTTGTTTATGGTGCCCACGAGCCCCTTATGTCTGCATGTAGAATTAAACTCGTTCTTTGCTGTCACTTCAGTCAATTTTAAAATAAATCACCAGCACAGAGGTCTAAAAACCATGTTGGATACAAGCAGAGCGAAATCATTGCTGTCCATCAAAACGGTGTGTATTGCTTGCAATTTGTTTGTCTCTGTCAAGCAAAGCATGAAGATGTGATGTGTGAAGAAGTTCATTCTTATCATCTTAATAATGATCTCTCTTTCTCTGCCTTTGTTCACTTGCCTTTTGTCTCTCTCCTCTCACACTTGTAAATTAGTTTTGCTGATGCTGGTTTAGTCGTGGGAGATGAACTGCAGGTGGAGGTTAAGTCTTTAGACCCTGCTAGAACAAGGAAAGGTCATGTTGTGCATGATCAATTTGAGAAAAAAGAATCACAGGATAATGCTTTACCCAGGATAATAAACCTCTGTCAATGTTGCCTGAGGGTGAAGTGCTGGCCAAACATTGCTGGCCTGTTATTGCTATAATAACAAGCTAACTGGGAATTATGACTAAAAGAGAGCACAAAAAAAGTGAAGGTAATTTTATCAGCAATAACGGTGAGTGAACTTGTGAACGTTTGGGGACACAAAGAAACAAATGATGCATAAACAAAGCACATAAGCACAGACCTCAGTGTCCCAGTTCCCAGTATAACCCAAGTCATAGCCCAAGCCCGAGTCATAGCCCAACCCTAAACTAACAAATCTTAAATTAGCGCTGTCCACCTTTTGCATATTTTGAAGACATCTGTCTCTCATACAATTGCAGGAAAGCACACATGCTTTTTGTTTTGCATTTAGTAAAGACATATAGTGCCATCTGTAAGTATTTGAACAGTGACACATTTTTAATTCTTTTGTCTGTACTGATGTACTGTAGTGATGCTAAAGTGCTGACTTGAGGCTTTACTTTGAATGTGTCCACATCCACATCAGCTGAACAGTCTCCACCAACCCCTGAGAAAACTGTGTGACTTTTTAGCTGTTAGCTTATTAAACTAGTCACTAAGTTTGTCTTTTCGCCACCTACAGCAAAAACCAAAACTATGAGTAAAAAGAGGCTTAAAAATTCATCACTTTTAGCAGCCCTTTTATATTATATGTTGTACTTTAAGTCATTCTTATTCTAAAAACATTGGTTAGTGCAGCTTTAAGGGTCCAGTCTGTAGGATCTAGTGGCATGTAGCGGTGTAGTTGCTGATTGCAACATCGTAAACTCACCCTTCAGTTCAAAGCTTGTAGAAGAAATGACACTGGCCTTGAAAATGTCTGCCTATGAAAGTCAGCACCTATACCCCATTTATTTCAAATCCAATGTACTTTTGTACACGGACAAAACAATAGAAAATGTGTCACTGCTCTAACTGTACTGTATGTGACTTGAAATGCACCTGTGTAATTGGACTTGTCTTGCCATTGGAGCATGGACATTTTTCCTGAATAGTGCTATTCATACATATCTGCCATAGGCTTTGGTGTATGTGTGTGTGTCAGAGAGAGAGAGAGAGATTTTATGACTTCAGTTCGAATTACCTGCTGATCATTGACAGTGATGTGTGGTCAGGACCCCTATATTACACCACCGGGACAGACATCTGTGATCTACACCTTCATTTTCATTCTGAGTGACACTGACAATCTCTTCTTCACCATCCACTGCTCACACAGCCTCTCTATCTCTGTGTCTGTGTGTGGGTGTATGTGTGAGAGAGTGTGTGTTTGTTCTCAATCTGTGCTGCAAGCCTGTTCGCCTCAAGGTCCCGTCTCTCCATGTCTCTGTGTGAAATGGAGGCAGGTGTTGCTTACATCCAGGCTAGCCAAATGCACTGTAAATGGATTTCACATACACATAAAGCAGAGACGAGTTGATGCCAACTGTGCTTGAGGTGGTGAATTCTAATGTCCTTCCAGCATGTTTTCAGTAGCCACTTTGAAGGAATGGTAAAATTATATTACCCCCACATGCGTGCGTGTGTGTGTGCACATCCCAGTGTTTTACAAGTTCGGTTTTCCATTAGAGAGGGTGCCTTTTTTTCCAAGATTGTTCTCTGTGGTCATCATGAAGCCCTCTATTTACCAGTCCTGCACCTCTAGAGATAGCCTGTCATTCAGAGTGACTGACAGACGGAGAGAACCCTATCGATTAGAGGCCATTTTCTGCCTATGTGTGAAGTACATTTACGTCAGTTCAGTTTTGAAATGGATACTGTATGCATAGTACAGGAATATTTGTATTTTTCTAAACATTTGCTTGTTTCTATGTGAAATGAATTGCTGTCCTGGTCAAGAGAGAAGTCTTTCCATGAAATTAGACCAAACCTAGATTTTGGTGCAGACTTCTGTTTGTAGATAGTTTAATTTAGATCTGGGTCCAGATCCAGATCAAACGTGTCTAAATCTTTGCTAATATTCTAGTATTATTTGGTGTTCCAGGTTTTGAGCTATCTGTCTCTCATTGCTCTGAAACTGCTATGCCAATCACAGTGATGCATGACTGTTGTCTGATGCAGAGCAGCATGATGTGAACACACAGCACCCCAAGTCTGCAGCCAGAGGCAGATGAATAGGGTTTTTTTTACATTCAGTTAATGATTATAGAAATATTAAAAATAATTCAATATCAGTTAATCCAATGGCATTTCAGTCCAAATTGTACTGTATTTCACATTGGGAATGGTTATATCATATCTTAAAATGTGACACAACAGCGTTTGCACCGTAATGCATTTCAAGAATAAAATATGAACCACTGATCTTTTTATGAGGAAAGGAGGCTGTGACTCACAGGATTAATGAGCGCAGAGCCTCCGAGCTTTGATGCCAGGTTAAACGCATATACTGGTTTGAGAGCGTTTAATTAAAATAGTTTATTTTGATCATGACAAAATCACCTAAGTGGCAGCTGTTCTCAGCTGAACATCTAAGACACATTTTCTACCAAAATACCAAAAGCATTGCCTAATTTGAATGAACCTGTTTGTTTGACTCCTCCCAACTGCATTGCACCTTAGCCTTTGCGCTGGGCACCAAACAGGCAAAGCGAGATGCTACAAAAATAGAGTCTTGGTCATGTTTTTTGGACATTAAAGCTCCAAAGTGACAACACGTAATCTTGCCAATCCATGTGTATCATTATCTTTTTCTGTCTTTTCTCTGCACCCCTCCCTCTGTGTTGCCAGGGAATCATCCAGGATGTGAAGTTGATTTTCGCTCCCAACGGCTACATTACACAGTGTCCTAACCTCAACCGCAGTAAGTATTATATTGCCCCAGTTTTACATAGTGTCCCGAACACACTCTGAGAGTAAAAGGAAAAGAAAGAGTACTCTCCATTACTGTGTGCCTTTATAAGATTGGACTGTAATGAGCTATTCATCAGCTGGTAGTGACCTCTCCTTGCTGATCACAAACAAAGCCCAGTTTTTTTTCTTCCTTTACTCCAGTAATCTTCATTTTGCTATAAGATCAGATTCAGTGTAGCCTCCTCTTTCCCTGCCTTGTTTGTCCATCTGTTTACTGTCAACCAGATTAAGATACAAGGCCATCGCTGTGCCACTGTCTTAGCCACTGATCAATAAGGCATGTAATCACACCTTGTCGCTTTATTATTGATACTAACACCAGCCACAAGGCTAAGACAAAGAGAAAACAGATGTGTGAGGCTCCCCTTTTGTTTGTCACTGGCTTCAACGTGTAACGTCCAAATAATCAGGCTAATTTTCTTGCTCTTTTTATTTCTTATCTAAACGTTTCCCTCTTTCTCTCTTCTCTTTTCTTCTCTGTTCTGGTGCTTCCTTTTCCCCCGTTGAGCCTGTCCGACCTGTAGCGATTTTCTGAGCCTGGTGCAAGGCATCATGGACCTTCAGGATCTACTGGCCAAGATGACCCTGAAAGTAAGTACAAGGAATGACCCTTGGCACAGAAAACTACCACCGGCAGCTCACCAGACTGTAAGACTGACTGGATGTATAAAATACTGCAAAACTAGATTTATTAGTGTCACAAATGTTTGGGAGACAGATAAAGGAAAAACACTGAATGTTGCCAGACAATTCAGTGAAAATCTGTTAAATAAAAGTATCCAGTCAAACCTGTCCCAGTTGTAGCCTTACAAACAAATAAATAAATAAATAAAAATGAATAAATAACTTCCTTCTCCACTACAGCCAGAGACAGCAGAATTCTTTGATTTTGTTGCTACTTTCATTGAAGCTTATTGTTCTTTCTCCTCTAAAGCCAGTATCTCATTTTTGTTTAATTTCAACAAGACGGAGCCCAAAAAAAGATACAAGTTATTGTTGAGAAATAAAAACAAAATAAGACTTGCACCTTAATCTGTCTTTAGAAAATGTGATTACTCTGTCAGTTATTATTCTAAGCATGGATTGAAGTGGTTTTAGAAGACAAAAAAAACCCCAAAAAGATATTAATGTGCATGTAAGAGGGAACAGCAAACAGACAATTATTTGGTCCCAGAAGGTCCCATATTATTATTATTATTTCATGGTTCCGTTTTTTGCAGTTTGCAATGGCTCACGATTACAGTAATAAAACAAAGGAACAGTTTTTACTTTGTTGTATGACAAGAGAGGAAAATGTGAAAATGCAAATCACTTGATTATAGAGTAACAGTACTGACAGTAAGGAAGAGTAACTCTTAACAGAAAACTTAACTCAAGGTCCACTTAATCCCTTCTTCTCGAGGTCCTCATCAGCAGACTGAGTTTGCTCAGTTGTGGCCGTGAGTTTTCTTGCCAGTTGAAGTTTGGGGATTCTTGTACTTGCATATCAGTTGAAGAAAGGAGGAAAGGAAGCAGGGAAGAATCAAACATTTTATATTTCGTGAGCTTATGTCGTATTATTCAAATGTGTTTCTGTGCTAACTCCGTCAGGCGTCAGATGTGTAATAAAAAGGATAAGATTACCCTCTGAAATGTGCATAATATTTTCATTCTCAGTTTTCTTTACTTCTCTATATTTTTTTCTTGATTAATCACAGTCTGACTGTAGACTTAAGTTACATGTCACTGGCTGCCATATAAGTAAATGACTGATCAGTAAATCAGTATCTAGGCAAGATAATTATGAATGTCTTACTGACTATTCATAATTATCTTGCCTAAATACTGACTTTCACTTACTGAGGTCAAGATAAATATAACAATTTATCACAGTATGAATATTATTGACCTGTCTTCAGTAGCTATATATTTATTAACATGTGCAGCAGTGGGACAGTAAGCGATATTGCTGTTATATCTTGGTAAAATGTTATGGTTTATTTTCCTGCAACTGTCATTTTAAATGATAAATGTTTGGTAGCACACAGACACACACAGGGGGCAAGTATATTCTGGGTTCAGAGAGGTGTCAGGAAATGACGACTGCATTGTGAGAACAGAGGCTAACAGGTGGTGTGCATTCTGCCCCGGAGCCGTGGGGGAGAGCTTAAACCATTTATAAGACTAAACATCTGCATAACTATGTGTGGGTGTGTGTGATTGACTTTGTGTGTATGTGATTGAGTGTGTGCTTATATGTGCATGAGTGAGTTGCTATCAGGTGGGAGTGAATGAAGCAAGGACATCTCAGTGGGCAGACTAGCTATAGAATAATTTTCTGTGTAAATAAGGGTGAAATGAAGAACATTACCCTACTGCTGTGTCAACACCTCCGCTTTCACATGAATACACTTCGACCTACTGCCACCTGACCTCATTGCTCATATGAGTCGCAGCATGGAAGATGCAGGCAACTCCAGTCCTAAATGGCCTCAGAGAATAGAGGAATTCAGCATGAAGTGAATAATTGCTTGGTCCTGAGTGTGCAATGTGGAGTGTCAAGGCGAGGTGAGATGACAATAAGCTCTGCTGTGTGTGGATTAGCATGGCAGCATTTGAATGTATTATATAGGCCTACCTGTGTATTTCTGAGAAGAAGCACAAGCATGTGTTTATGCGAAAACATGTAGAAATATCTCAATACCACTTGAATAGAGATACCAATACAATAATATTATTTCCCCGTTTAAAGGGTTGGTTAAACCCAATGAAAAAAAACCCAACCTCTTACTCATCTCTCTTTAGTCGTATGTAGCCATATAGATAGTTTTGTTTGTGAGGTTGTTTATTTATTTATTTATGCCTATAATAGATAGGTGACAATGGAGAGATTTTGATTGTGGTGCTCACTGCATTGAAAAATGACATTTACAAAATCAACAGCAAAATCTCCTTCTTGGATCAGTGTCCCTGTTACTCTGGATTATCCACAGACTTTTTAAAAGTTAGTTTAAGTACTTTCTAGAAGAAATAGTCCCAATAAAAATGGCTGACGACAAGGCCAGAAGTGCAAACTGGCTGCATGGCTACATGGCTACTAGAAGGCTACTATTATGGGTGAACTGACCCATTAATGCTTGTATATAATCACTGTCCAGTGGTTAGGGGTTAGAATAACTCTTGTGGGCATTATCTAAAAAATGAAGTTAATGAAAAGTTGTTTTTGGTGATACTTGGTCTTCACAGCAATCAACTGATGTACATTTTGCTTTGGATAACTATCTAAATAAATGATGCATAACTGGTTAAATATTGTCCTCTATTGCTGCTGCTGTGTAAGCCATGAAAACAGCTCTGAGTCTATTCAGTGTTCTTGGTAATAAGGGGATTGGGGCTCCAGGTTTGAGCTGTAAAAATGTTTATTACTGGATAGCTACTTTGATTCTGGCAAGTACCTCCCCATGCACTTATAATTGCTAATCCAGCGGGCTGTGCTGACTTTGGGTTGGACTTTGGGTCTACCTTTTTTGATGATTTATTAAAAACTGAGCTTTATTTAGGTAGTTGAAGGCTTGCACTGTTTGTTTTGATATTTGGTGTTGGTAGAGGTGTTTCCAAAGTCCCTGCAATGGAGGTGGTGAGTTCCAAGGCAGCAGAACATAATTATGAGAACATATCTGCAGATACAAAGTATTTAATATACACTTTCTCAGAAATAATTGATACAGTACATCAGTCTAGCGTTGCAGTATTAGTGGGTAAAATCCAACTTGGAACTATGAATTAAAACATCCATGTCGGGACTGCTGATAACCCCTTGTGTAAGTTTTAAATCCCACTTAACACGCATGTTAAAAAATACCAGAATTTCCCCTTAATGCACTAAAATGCTTGTACAGATGCGCAACCATTTTGTAGATTGAATGTCTGTTGGGGAGTGTTAGTAAGGCTCAAGATGCTCAGTTAAGTGTAAAAATCCCACATTTTCAACCATGGAAAGTCTCTTAATAATCACACATTTCATGACTTTTTTTCAGTGTGCTGCTGTCTGGAGGGAGTTATTCAGAATGTTAGTTTCTCACTTTCCTTCATGGCATTTATATTACAATATTTAGGCTGACTATGGAAGGCTAAAAGTGAAGGATTCCCCTACTTGCTGTAAAACCAAACACATTACCATCACTTACTGTAGATTTTAAGATGAATAGGTCTATTAAGTATTCTAACTTACCATCAGGTTTTAGAGTCTCAGCATGTGTTTGTTTTATTGTTATGGCTAAAGTATCATAATTACATGATGGCAGACATCCCAGATCTGGATTACAAACAAAATCTAATTAATTACTTGTTGGCCCAAGACTGATTGGTTCCCAGAATTTCATGGAAATTCACTCATACATGTTTGACATATGCCTCAAATATGCAGGCAAACAAAAATAATTAAAGGTAATAAATACACCTTAATATGCCACCTCATTTGGACTTTGTGCTCAACTCTTATTTTATTATTTCACTCGTGTCTCTTGGCCTCATGTATCAACCATAGGAGATACATGTCTATTAGCCTCTGACTCCTTTGTGCGGTATCACTGTGCCCTTTGATGCTCACATTGTACAGAAAAGGTATTCCTCCGTGGTGCCTCAAGGCAGCCTCCCAGCCTTTGAAATTGCATTTCAAACATTTTGTTTTGGGCTTTGACAGGACACATCTTTACCACTCACACAGCTCTCCTGCAGCCAGCCGGGACTCCTCTAAATGAAGCAAAAAGCCTCAGTGACATCCAGCATTTTTCTTTTTTACTGAGAAGCCTCTATCATTTCGCGGCGAGTCCTCTCTCTCTGAAACTGTGGCCTGGGCAGGTCTCAGAGGAGCAGAGGGGGCACAGGCAGAGCGGCAGAGCAGCCTTGAGTGTCTTAAGTGGACCTGCAGTTTCTGAGTTGACCTACGCTGCTCAGATCAATTGGACCTTTTTGAATTCCCCCACCTTCCCACCTTTCAGCCAGGACTCTGATTGTTTATATCTGGGTCAGGCAGTATTTTACAGATATGTGAATTTATAACACATAGCATAGCCAGCCAGCTCCTACTCAAACCTGTAGTTGAGCTTTCATGGATACAGTCTATTTTTCTACACAAGTCTGTAGATTATTGATAAATACAAACTAGATGGATGCTGATTTTTTCCAGGAAAATAAAATAAATGTCTATTATTGATTTACATGATACTATATGTGGTTACTTTAATGGAAACAAACTACTCAATCACACTGAACCAAATTATCTGCAGTTGAATTAACAATCAGAATCAGAATCAAAAATACTTTATTGATCCCCGGGGGAAAAATGTGTTAGTTCTTGTTCAACATGATAACAACTTCTCTCCTTTGCTTTGCTTAAAATTTCAACATGAACCATTGGATTGGACGACTCGCTACTACGGACACTACAATGTCCTGTAATTGGTATCAAAACATTACACAACGATTCATTTAAACTCAGATTAGGCTGATTGTAGTTACTGATCTTTAGTTTAGTTTAATGATTTAAACCAAGGTTGGATATTATTTTAAATTCCTTATAAAATAAAGTACATGACAGAATGAATGAGCCCCAGATCAAAATGTTCACTGATAAAAGACCATCAGTAAAACATCACTGATGTGTCTGATTGAAATTAAATTTCATTTAATGTTTGCTAGCAGGTCCTTTTCTGCTACAATTCATGGAGGACTCTTTTCCCCTTTAAAAATACTAAAACATCATAAAATGTAATTGAGTTGAAGCATTTATTTTATTTTCCTCTGAGCCTTGTAAAACAATTGGAAAATATTGCCAATTTGAAGGTTTTTAAACTCGCCTCATATGTCAGTTACAGCAACAATTTGACAATAGAAGGATGTTTTTACATTCATCTGCTGAAAGTGGAAAATTTCTCTGCGCTCATTGAAAATCAGATTTTTAAAGGGAAGGGGCCTATGAGCATGACTTGTGACTATCTAAGTCTATCCTGGTCCAGTATGCAACTTAAACAAGTGAGATGTAAAAACTTTAAGCCACCAGTGCACATACCTCAATGTATGTGCACTGGTGAGAATGGAGAATGGACTTTACAGTGTAGGAGGAGTAATCTTGTGTCCAGCAGTTTTTGGAATTGTTAATGGGGTTGAAGGAGCAGACGGCTTTTTTAAAGATTTTAATGTGGAAATTTTTGCAAGCACTATTTGTATATATGTTATCATAATACATTGAAACAAAGTGCTTTTGTTGCCTACACACAATATTCAGGATGCAAACCCCAGATTCTAATGTCATTGGACTTTCTACTACCCTGACCTCCTTCCATGACTTCCTTGTGCTACAAAAACACAGCACCTCCTTCACTGGAAAAAAATGTTGTCTGTGAACACATAGCTAATGTTTCTTAAAAAAAGTTCTGTATTTTCCTAGATAAATGAGAATAATATACATACTTTCTATGACATAGGGTTGTTAAATCCTGATTTAAAGCTTATCCTGCTTGGTGCACTCCACCCTCTGCGCCCAATCCATGTGACACTGCCTCTTGACACTTTTGTCAGTCAGAGATGCATCACTTCTGTCGGGAGACAACCGTGGGGAATGTTGAGCATGAAATAAGCTGAAGAAAAAGGGCTGATCAGTGTGTAGGAATAAAAGAGGGTTGAGGCAGGATCGTGGCTGTCAGTCCTGTCTGTCATTTCTCAGTAGATTATAGCCTGAGGTCGGGAGCATGAGCTGAATGATGATCATTTATTATTCTATGTGCCCTTCTAATGAGTGGTTCCCAGCGGAGCAGCTCTCTGTGAAAACCAACCAGGGCATGCCAGAGGGCAAGGGGGCGGGGTTAGGGGTTACCCCCGGTGCACACAGAGACTTTTGATTGTAGTTTTGTGACTCTGGCGATTCTGTACTCGTCCTCAGTTGAACTACGCAGAGTCCAGACTGACACAACTGGAGGGTTGTCACTGCGAGAGGACCTGCAGTGCCAATGGCCTGGTCTACCGGGATAAGGAGCTGTGGGTGGAACCCGAGAACTGCAGGAACTGTGCATGTAAGGTGAGTGTCACCAACATACTCAAAACCACAGAATGCGGCACCAGATTTTAACTATCACACTGTAAAAAATCTCTTTCAAATTGAGTACTTTAATCTGTTTTTGAGCTCTGAAAGTATGACTTTCTTCAAACAAGTGAAAAAATCTCTCCTATTTCCAACAGTCAACTTATTCTGTAGAAATTTGTCAGTATAATAAAAAGAAGCAATTTAAGTGTAAAGTCCCCCTTACTTGTTTAAAGGTCCAGTGTATAACATTTGAGAGGCTCTATTGGCAGAAATTGAATATAATATCCATAGATCTGTTTTCATTAGTGTATAATCACCTAAAAATAAGAACTGGTGTTTCTGTTACCTCAGAATAAGCCATTTCTATCCACAGAGGGAGCTCGTCTTCCATGGAATCCGCAATGTTAAACCACCTTATTTGTACAGTAGCCCAGAACAGACAAACCAAACACTGACTCTAGATAGGGCCTTTTGCATTTTTTTGCGAGGTTTTGCCACCACTGTAGTGCAAACCGCAAGTACACCAGTAAATGCAACTAAATCTTACTCACTGGTCCTTTAAAGAAAATGTGAATGAGATAATGAGAATGAATATGAAATCAAAGGGAAAACTGTAGTTGTCAAGAGATATTGGGTACACCAAAAAGGCATATGACAAAATTGATAATAGAATAACCTTTCAGCATCACAGATTGATGATATGTCAAAGCGCAGCAGAATTTCTGAGGGTAAATTTTTGCTTTATTGGGAAGTCACTACAACCCTTATTTCCTCCCCTCTCAACACTTAGTTTCCTTAACTTGCCTTCCCATTAGACCATCCGTTATTCCCCTGCATCGTCTCTCCCTGCCTCCTTCCCGCCCCCTAATAAGCGCCCCCCTAATAAGCCTTCGTGCCTGCACTCATACATAGGAGCCAGACTTTGAAATTTGTTGAATCAGGCCATCCTGGGCCCTGGGGAATTAGACTTGCTGCATCATTGCACATCAAGCACAGGGTGGAGTTTAGTCGGTCTGATTTCCTCCTGTGGACATGCCATTAACTGATAACCGCGGCGTCCTGGGGGAACCATTTCCGATGACTCATGAAATGAAGAGGCGCTCACAGAGAGAGATATCAGCCCCAAAAATGAAGGCAGTCCTTCAGGGCCTGAATAACTACCTGCTATCAGCAGGCCGTTCAGTTTCTCTATTCACCATCCAGTGCTTGCTGATGAATATGTTATCTGATTGTATGACATTATAATTAATTTTTTTTATTCGTAAATATGATTTTGGTTTTGGTTTCAGATTGCATTCCTGGAGATGGGATTTTGAGCAGTTTGGGGCTAGTTTGAATGGAGTGTTAGCTGTTCAGTATTGGATGAAAGCATGCATCGCACTGCATGTGTTATATACCGTATGTTTGCTGTTGGGGTAGAGGATGTATAAAAGATGAAAAATTCCATAAATGCTTGTTCACAGGTAAATTAAGACATATAGGAAAGTAGGTGACATATTCAGTGTGGATTTTTTGGTAGTGCCACAGGTAAAAGCTGTATGTTCACTGTGAATGTTTTTGATGCAAAAATAAACTAAATAATATTAATAAGAAGAATTTTCTTACAGAATGGTGTGGTGGAGTGTCGCAGGATTTTCTGTCCTCCGGCAAACTGCTCAGAGGACTCGCTACCTGTACACGTGGATGGGACTTGCTGCAAGAAATGCAGACGTAAGTATCAGCAGCACACATTTAGATCATGCAGGAAGAAAAAGAAATGTTCACAACCAAACCTGTGAAACTCCCCTCTGCAAAAATACCTTTCACACCACACAAATAGGCACAGCGCAAATTAACTGTTGACACGGCTACTATTTTCTGCCAAGCAGTATAAATAGATATAGATTTATAAATATATATAAAAAGTAAATAATCTTTATCTCAAACAATTTTTCTCATTCTACGCCATGGCCTCTACCATTTGTCAGTGCCACTACTTTGGTGTATATTTTCTCTATAAACCAGCATACAGCTAAGAATTATGCCATCTCTCAACAGCTGCTTTCTTAAAAATCAAAATTATTCTACTAATACTATAATACTTACTTACAGTACTGGTTTTATCAGTACATGATAATCAAGAAACAATATATGAAAGTTTTTTTCTACCTTTTTGTGGCAGTATCACACAACATTAGCATTAGCTTAAACTAGCTAGCACACTACAGCTGTTAAAATCTGCTAGTTTTTTAATTTCAGCCAACAAATCTGACATCAAACGACATCGGCAAGAAATGTTTTTTTATTTTTATTTGTGTGAAATCAAAGACTCAATGTCTCAAAAAGTCTGATTTTGCTAGTGTCTGCCCCCGCTAAGATTTGTAAATTGCAATTGTACGGAAAAGCTTGATGGTCATAGCAACAGTAACTAAGAGGGGAGGAGCTTAGTGAATGCTCAATGGTCAGCTTGTGGAATGCGCTTGTTAGCCTGCTATATTTGTGACCCTGTCTACACTATTTCCGCCACAACATAATAGTGTAGGAGTAGACTTTAACTTTGCAGCAGTGTAATAGTGCCATGCCACTTTCTGTTCTTAGTGAGAGGAGTCATTATTCGCCACAAATACCACAAATGTTAGCTTGTCAGAAAAACATAAACATTGATTGTTATTTCGCATTTACCAATGCTATCATTTTTGACAGTCCTAAACACATGCGCAGCTTGTTTGCATTTCAGTACATTGTGCATTTGAGGTAATACAACCAGAAGCACTGCAGATACACCCAAGAGGAATGTTGTTTGTGGCTGATGTTCTGCTGGCACAATGAAACCAGAGCAAACTATCTACAAGACCAAAGATCACAGTCGCCTGATTTTCATGGAAGCTGAAATGGAAGCACTATTTCTAGTATAAAGCACACAGGGGTCTGGTAACTGCTCATGGACCCACGGACAACTGTGTCTGTCTTGCTATACACTGCAAAAACACTAAATCCCTGAAGTATAGTTCATCTTTGAATAATTCCAGCTCTCCTCTGCCTCCCCCCATCCCCCCGCTCACTTCGTCTTCCTCCTCTTCCTCCCCTGTGAACATCAGAGGTCTGGCACAGGAGAACGAGGGAACAGCGCTCCAGTGCCGCGACTGAGCGCTCCACAGTCCTGCACCCTGGAGAGGAGAAAAGCAGGACTTCATATCATATGCTTCATTTTCTATTTCTGCTATCGCCAGAGGAATATGCAGAAGTGTCTCCTCTGTTGTATTCTTAATGCGCTGTTACACTTCCTCTCCGCTTATGCACACTAGCCAAGAACAACTTTGTTTCTAACAGAATTAAGTATGCAGAAATTCAGGCTGGAAACTTTTTTTTTTCTCCACAGCCAATCTCAGAAGCATATTTCGCTATTGTTGACTGCACCACAGGAGCTGATATTAGCTGAAAAATTACTCTGTTTGTGGTATTTCATAGTTACTGTAACTAATGAAGTGTTGCTGACGCACTAATGCTCTATTTTTCTACCCACAGCAAAATGTACCTACATTGGCCAGACCTTTTCTGAAGGCCAGCGCTTTTTATCCAGGAGCTGCAGGGAATGCAAGGTAACAGTTATCATTACGGTGTACAATTCTTTTTCCAGCATTTAGCCTCTAGTCTGCAATTAGATCACCATTCAGCACTTCTCCTTCAGCATAAACGTGTAATGATTGTGTGTGGTGGACTGCTCAGTGTGTTATTCAATTAGCGAGCAGGCCTTATTAGTTTTCCCTCCATCCCCCAATCTGTTCAATCTGCCTTTTTTCTTCTCTCTAATGGCAAGATAGCCAGGTAATTAGAATAACGTATGAACACAGAAACACAAAGGCCTGATTTGAATTGGAGCTTCATCACTGCGTGGATTATAATTAAAGTCATTATTCCAGTTCAGCATAGAACAGAGGTGAGCTTTCTTCACTGAGAAGACATTTATCTTTAAAGACTTTAAAAAATTTGCGTTTTATGCATGTAATTGCTTACAAAGAGCCACACAGTGTACCCCTGGACTCATTATTAGCCCCCAGACACCCCGAAACATCGTTATATTGTTTGTAGGCTTTGTTTTAAGCAATTACAGCCATCTTTTACTCCTGGATGTGAATGCTGCTAAATCACCAATTTGTAGCCAACATATTCTTAGAAGGGCCTCAAAATCTTTTATTTTGAAGCTTTAAGGGGTCTAGTGTCAGCATTTTAGGTAGTATGTGTGTCTAGGTATGTAAACTGTGTATTTCTACATGGTGAAATTAAAAGAATGTCTCTGGCACTCTATAATCTTCCTTCTTCAGACTATCTCTCTGTCCTCTCTCTATCACAACAGGAGAGCTATGAATTTGACATATGGAGATAATAAGTAAAAGAAATGAAAGAAAGAGAGAGAGAGGGTCACATTAGGCTATTTATGGAAGATGTGTGAAGTAAAACATTTTGACATGGCATAGCAGGTGTATGAACCATTGCTGCATTCCAATTAGGGGAGGTCCTGCTATTGTGTATGCTGGTTCACTGCCACTGTTACTGGGACACTTAATGGAACTGAGCCGTTGTTAGTGTTATTACGTGCACCTGTGTTTTCCCTGCTGTGACATGTCAAAATGTCTGCTGTGCACAGTAGTCCATTTCAGCCTCCTGCATGAAACTTCCTGCACTGGTACTGGACATGCGATGCATTTAATAATAATATAATAATGATAATTCCAAAGGACACTGGAATGAGTCAGTAATGTGTGGTCAGCAAAATTGACTTTTGCCAATTTTTTTCTCATGCACAACAAATTACAGTCAAAGTTGCAAAACAATTGATGACTCCAGTGTTTTGTAAATGTTTATATTACCTCCAAATAAATTATTTAGATATGTTAAAAATAGGACTCAAACCTGTCTGACCTCTTGTGTTGTTTGTACTAATAGACTCCAGGGTATAGCTGTGTCTCAAAAGGTTGCTGCATCCCCACATCCCCCATCTCAAAAACAAAACTAATCACTAAATTGTTGACATAACTGATAGGAATGTAATGAAAATTGGACCCAGGTTAAAATTAAAAAAATTAAAACTATATTTCATTTATGGCGAGGGTGGCTTCTGAGGCTCTTTCAGTCACCTGAATGTGTTAACAGGCTGATTTCATGGCTGGCTGCTGGCTACATTGCAACGTGCTAGGGGAATATGGGAGACTCACTGGGTGTTTTATTCTCAGAATGAAACCATCCCTTGTGTACAGATGTGGAATAGCATCTCATCAAGGTTACAATATTTTTCTCCACTGCAGAGTGCTTTTAGTACGATATAGCTGGTGTTTTGTGAAAAATAATGTAAAAAATAAACATCCCCCTAACACAACTGATGGGTAAAGAGAAGTTACAGATGCTGGAAATTGATTCTTTTAAGTTGTAGACTTCTACAGATCTGTCTCTTGTGTTCTAGTCAGTTAATTTTCCCACAACCTCTGCTGTTGCCTCTCAGATATTCAGTCTGAATGAAAAGCTGCAGTGAATCTGAGATGATGAGGAAATGTGTTGGTTAGTCTGTTTTTACCACACAGTTGTCAGTTGCCTCTTTAAGAAAACTATCAGTGATTATTTGAATCTGGTAGTAATGACTAGAATCCAAATTTAGAAGAGGGTTGGCTGCATACAAAAACTCAGTAAAACAAGTTGTTCTCTTTTTTGGTAATTGCAAAAAAACTTGCTGAAATGAAAGAAAAATAAATCATCTTGGTTGGTGTACCACCAGTCATTACCATTAATGATCTGAATAATGAATAATTATGCTAAAGCTGATCAACAGAAAATGAATTATTAGGCAAAAAATATGTGCTTCTCAAATGACTTGCTGTTTTTTTTTTTTATTGTATGTCATTGTAAATGGAATATATATTTCAATTTTGCAATCTGAATATATTTCATACACTAGATTTAAAGTGCGAAACATTTGTTAATGTAGCAGGCACAGAGCGACATTAGTTCAATGTTTATTTCTACTTATAGCGTTGCTTTGGTCTCCTGAGAAAACTATCTATCTGGACTAGTTAGCTAGTCGCTCTAACTTAATCTGTTTGCTGGATAGGTAGCAGACAGTGGATTTATCAAAGCTTTTTCATCAAAAACAGTCTTCTGCTAGAAACAGCACTGATAAGAGTGGACCTCAAACAATCAGCTAACGGAGGCTAAAACTTTATACAGTGCTGCAAACTGGGGGATAATTCTCTGTGGATTAGCTTTTTACATTTGAGCCACTGTTAATGTATGTGCAGCTTTAATTGTTTAACTGAAAGACAGATTAATTCATGATGAAAATACTAGTTGTCTTTAGAAAATGATGTGACTGATAAAAGGCTTACAGTGCACCGGGCTGTACCATTAAAGGATGACATGAGGAAAGAGTTAATGTGGTTCATAGAAAAGCACGACATTGAAGGAAGTTGTGAAGGAGAAATCTCAGGGATTTAAGTCAATACTTCAGACCTTGAGAGGCATTGCAGGGACCACCAGAGCTCTGACATACCAGCCAGGCTGCTGCTGTGTGTCTGCTATTTGTTTTGAAGGCCCAGGGGAAGGTGACACCGAGTTCTATCTACTCTTGTTTCCCTTCTTTGGTGGCTCGTATCTACACCTTACCTACTATCTGTATTCATGCCCTTCTTGTGAGCATCATGTACTGCCTTTACATTCCACCATCTCTGTTGTCATGGCAGCCTCATTCAGTCAGGAGTATCTTAAAATATCCTGTTTTTTAACATCTGAAAACATCCTTTTACCTGTCGGTGTGGTTTAATGCATTTCAAAAGCCGTGTCACTTTCACCTTTTGCTATCTTCAAATTATAAGGCTTGGAGGCAGGCCTTTGTATGAGCTCACAGAACTAATATTCATTTTCCTGAAAAAATAACAAAGATTACATTTGGTTTGATTTGCAGAGTTATAAAACTTTTAGATATGATATTTCAAGCATTTTCTGTTTTCAATTAAAGCACTTTTGATGATTTTTCTCAAGAAAAAAAAAACAGCTTTCAGAGACAGGCCATTATGCCAGTATGTCTAAATGTAACATTATTTAGTAAAACAAAGAAACAAAAAACACTCTTACTGTAGTGCTGGTATGTTGTTTTCTTACTTCCATTGGGGATGTCCCAATAACTAGTCCAATCCAAAGCTAATATTTACAATTATGATTCTGGCACATTAAAGGTCCAGTCTGTAACATTTAGGAGGATCTATTGGCATAAATGGAAAATCTTCTTTGCAATTGGATGGGGCGTGAGGGAGTTGCAATCTGCAGCTTTATGCTACATGCCTCTAAATTCTCCTTTTTAAAATAACAACTGTACTCTTACCTTATTCACCTTCACCTTATTTTTCACAAACAACTTCAGAGAAATACTGGAGGTCCTGTTTAAAAAATATTACGTTTATAAGCTTGAATGAATATGAAACGTTGACCTGAGAGAATTCGGCTCCTGAAACTGCCGTGATTTGATTCGCTTTTAAGAAGATGTTTTTTATTTTTATTTTGGAGTTATTGGGACTACAGAAACAGTAGTTCCATATGTACCATTCTTTTTAGATTTATTAAACATCAGATATATTTCTTTTTCATAGTTTACAAGTTCAAAGGGTGAAATGTGCATCTAATTGTATGAATGTGCATGTGTCCAATGTACACACCTTTGCATGTCAAGTTAGTCTTTTTAGTGGGTTTCACTACTTCAAACAGCGAACAATATGGCTGTTTCAAAAACAACTAATATAAATGTTGTCGGATTAGGTTTCATCATATGAACTATATATGTAAAGGTTGGATAAGTGGGCTTGTGACTAGAAGGTTGCTGGTGGTGTAATTCTTTTGGTGACGATAGTCTCATTTAATGTACAGACCTTCACACATTTGACCGAAAGCACTAAAATTGTAATGTTTTGCCTCTGTCCTGTCACTCCAGAATGGCCTGATGGTGAAAGTCACAGAAACTTGTCCAGAGCTCAACTGCACCGTCAGTGAACAGATCTTACCAGACAGCAGATGCTGCAATGTTTGCAGAGGTATGTCTTCCTTCTTATGCACTCTTCTCAGTTGCATGAATCACTCTTTCTTTGGACTTGCACGCACCAATCCCCTGCCGCTGCGAGAAGTAAACACGGCAAGTCTGTCGGATGCTGATTCAGATTGTACCACTGCAATAACTCTGTTTCTCTCCCTTTCCACCCGGGATGAATACTTCTTGGCTGGGATACCTATCAGAGCAGATTGGTCTGTCTGCTATAGAGCACCTGCTATGCCAATTTGCCTGTGCCCCGCTGCTTTGGCAGGGAGGTACTACAGGGTAAATAGCCACTGGTAATTCAGTAAATACATTGAATAAACAAACTGTAGGAGGCTGTCAGCTATAGAGCTATAATGAAAGAAACCCGGGGCAGGTTCTGAGCAAAGGAAATTGCGCTCTCGTTTAGGCAAGATAAGCAGCATGGCTTAGACACACTGTATTCAGAGGAGAGGAAGATGAAAAGAAGGTAAAAGCCAAGGCAAGGAAAATAGAGAAAAGGGAAGGGGAGAAAGTAGATGGGAGAGGAAAGGTTGAGAGTGTAAGGGAGACTACAGCAAGGAGGGGAAAAGGAGGAGGGAGGAAACATTATGTCTTAGACCTGCTATGTTGAAAAAAAGGAAATGGAAAGCACATGAGAAGAGAGGAAGATAAAAGATATAGAGAGGATAAGTCTAAGACGTTATATGCTGAGGGAAGAGTAAAGGAAAAGAGAAGGATGAGGACAGAAGGTATAGATAGGAATAAAGGAAGAATGAGGAACAATGGGACATATTGTGTTGAAAGGAGAAGAAAGGAATGAAGAGATGAGGGAGGAGAAGAGAGATACAGAGTTAAGGGCAGCAGAGAAAGAAGAGAATTGTAGGCGATAAGAGAGTTTATATAGTACAGCTAACTATTCAAGATTAGAGTCACAGCACCTCACTAAACCTTTTTCTTTCTCCCTCTCTCACACCCACCCACACCCAGTGTCGCCAAAACTCAGAACCGGTCATTATTTCCAAACCTTCTCCAGACTTCCACACTGTGTGAATCAGTACTTTACCACCACTCTGAAATTTACTTGTGCTTCACTGTTAAGTCCTCAAAGCCACACTGGCTCTGTTAAAATGGGTAATTACACAATTGTCACAGAGAGTTCATACTTTTTAAAAAGAATAATTCTACAGCAAGGGACCTGTGTATGTGGCAAAACAAAAATCCAGCAAATCACAAACAAAAAATGTGGTGTTTGTGGTCGGAAAACTGTACTCCACCACCACAGTACTTGTGTTTGTGATTCCTTGTGTAGTCAGGCCTTTACATGTACACAGCGTTCTGTGGGGTGCTGCTGTAGATGGCGGAGGGGGTGGGAGGAAGAATAATGCAGACACAGCTCTTTCCTCAGTAATGGCTCCCCAGGCTCCCTGCCTCTCAGGGCTTTTATGTGCAGCCAGTCTGTCTTTCATTACAGGACATGATGGGCTACATCAGCTCATACTTACTGAGCAGAAGACAATCATCTCTCTGTCTGTCTGCTTCCTTATGTGTCAGACTGAGTCTCAATTCATCTGTCTATCTGTCATGTCACATTTCGGTACACGTGCAGGATCTCAGCCTGGTTCACATTTGACAAAAGAGCAGCACTGTAGGCAGTACATAAGTTCCTGTCCACTATCACAAACAGTCAGGGTTTCAATCCCAGTAGCAGGGCTACTGTATGATTTCCAATAGACACAATTGGTCACATTCAAAGGTTCACAGTGAGGGATCCTGACCGGTCAGTGCACAAGTGACTCCTGCGCTGCAGACTTCCACTGAAGAAAGCACTTACTCTCTGTGACCTTGAAATGTGGCACCGGCGATAGCCGTGGCCGGAGGCATTATGTTTCCGGGTTATCTGTCTGTATCTCAGAAACGCCTAGGGTGAATTTCTTTATATTTGGCACAAACATATATTTGGACTCAAGGATGAACAGATTACATTTTTGTGGTCAAGGGTCAAGGTCATTGTGACTCACAAAACACTTATTTGGCCATAACTCAATAATTGACAACCATATTTCACAATTGGTCGGACAATGAATTGGCGAACAGAAGGGGAGATTATGACCATATTTCAGTAGCAGCCTTACAGTCTACCTGCACATCAACACTCTTTGCTGAATGTAGCAAGTCTCTACCATACTACCATCGGATCCTTCAGCACACAATACAGCACCACAGGTCAGTTAATCAACATAATTCTATTGGCGGCCAACTCAGGTCCAGCACACTACTGCATTATGAGAGGAGAGAATGATTACTCAATGAGTACAAGCTGAGATAATCAACTCACCTGGCACTGCTCTCACAAGCCATCCTGACACCTCTCTTTCTTCTGCAGCTGAGTGTAAACCACACCCACCTCCATACTGAAACATCACCAGAAAACACCATAGTAACATACTGTGTTACAGAGCAGCACAGTTGTGACTCTTTGACTCTATTGGCTGGATGAATGACATCCTCTGAGATCTTCCTACATGAGCAGAATGTTTTATGTATGTGTACATGCTTTCATGAAAGCCAAAACTTTTATGATCGCACCAACTCAATGCAGTCGTAAACTGTATACATCAGGCTTGACTGTCATCCACAGTAGTGGGCAACAGGAACAAGGTTGCTCATTTGTACATTTGTCTGCTTTTATCTGCGTACAGTGTGTGTGTGTGCACGCGTGTGACTGTATACAGCTTTTTACTGCCTTGAGAGAGAAAATTTTAAGACCAAAGTAAATCAAGGCTTTCTTTGTCCCTCTCTTTCAGGTTATGACTTTTGCGCAGAGGGACTCATTTGTGGAGAAAACTCTGAGTGTAAAAACCGGAATACTAAAGCAGAGTGTGAATGCAAGAGCGGCTATGCCTCCATCCACGGGGATTCAACTTACTGTGAAGGTAAGACTATATAATTTACCTAGCTCGGGCTGAGCTGTGGCTTATGTGACTGGCTTATAATATCTATTAGCTGAGGATGTTGAAAGCAGTATGGATGGCAGTGTGTCAGTGTTTAGTACATTGTTCTCTTTTAAGAGCATGTTTATGTCAGGCTGGGGGCCAAAGACTAAGAGTAATAGGCTGATATTAACCCACTGAGTGTATGACATAATGAAAAAAGTATGTAAAGGCAACAATGATTGTTCTGAAAAAGCACTGTGGTCAGTTGTGAATAAGACCTAAAGTGAGAATGAGAAAGGAGCGAGATCTGTGAAACACTGTTGATTTGACTTATGTGAACATTTTACAAGTGCTGAAGGTTGGTAAGGATTAAGTTTGAGGTTCAATTTAGGCAACTTAAACAGAAAAATTATTATTTTTAGAAAATGATTTATATTCAGTAGACTTGAACAAGCAAAGTTCCTATGTGTGTGTAGGACCAACTATGGTAGCAGCAAAAAACACAACACCCACACAAAAAATGCAAAAGGAACTATCTACAGCCAGTGTTTAGTTTGTCTGTTCTGGGTCACTTTTGAAAAATGGCAGTTCATCATGGCGGACTCCACGGAACGGCTCATTCTAAGGTAATTAATTACCAAAAGATCATCCTAAATGTTACACACTGGACTTGTGAATCAAACTGTCGGTAATATTTAAACTTAACTTGCAGCAGACAAGGTCCTGTTATGAACCCAGGTCTGTAGAGTGGAGAATGTTTGCATCCTGAACTGTATACTCTTACTTTTTGAAGCACTATTTAAATCTTAAACTACATTACCTATTGTTTCCAGTAGTGTCTGCTTCACTTCTCCTGGAAAACATGTCTGGGTTTTAAGACATATGATCTGAGTTTTCTATTTTGCAGATTTTCAGGGGATCCTAGTCTCTCTGAAATCCCTAAGAGTGTAAGGGTGTCCAGTATGGCTGTGTAAAAGCCCCAGTCTGTGGGTTTTGGGGCCCCGGAGTACTTATGATGGAGCTAATGGCCTTATTTGATTAAGAGGCTTGGGAGCGGCAGTCTGCGGATTGAAGGATTTGCTCGATGCTCAGTGCAGTTGTCTTTGGGTCGGAGCCACAGCAGACTGAAGAGCTTGGTAGCCACAAGCCCTCCAGTCTGTCTGCCTCTGTTTGAGCTGCATGGTAAAGAGGTTTACCCAGAGCTCCACTCCAATCCACGAAAGTCCCTTACCATATGAGTGAAGGCTGGGAAATGCTGATTGTTAGATCAACTATGTAAATTGTCAAGCCACGGCTCTATTGGCTATGAGGACATTATCCATGTTTGGGGCTTGCTCCCTAAAGGCAGCTCAAACTTCTATTGTAAATGGATTATCTGGAATTCTGCTGTACAGTATGGTGATATTTGACATGGCTTCACACTCACCTCCAACTTAAATTGGCTTAGGATAATATGTCTTACACAGCAGACTGGGGTAATCTTTTTATTTTATTTTTTATTTGCGTTGTATACAAAGCCCTGCAGTCTGATGGGGTGTCACTGATATCCTAATAGATGTTTTACAAAACAAATTAATTTCTCTGAGATTGTGTCTCTAAGCTGTCATTAAATGTGACCATTATATCCTCATTAATGTTTCAATGTGCAGCTGAATGGTTGAAGATGAGGTTATTTACTTGTAATCAGAGGGCTGTTTGATGAGGGACCAGAGGATTTAAACAAAGCCCAGCTTGAGCTTTCTGTATTGCATTCAATCACCTGGTGCAATAATTATTATCTCCCTCTTTCTTTAACTGAATACCTAATTATTCTCAAAGGGATATTTAGCTGGGATATTGTCAAAACTTTGTAGAAGTGCACAATGTTGTGAAAGGTTTCATTGATCTTTTTCTTCCCATTAAAACACAAATAAGACTTTTGTCCACCCTCAATATATTTCTGGAGTGTATTTTAGATATCGTAGCCTGTAATTCTTTGAAACCAAGGCTAATTTGCTTACAATTGTCTTAGCTAAGCACACGATATATTTTTATTGTTTGTATATCTATTTACGATGAAGAAGTTTTGACTTTTGGCACCACATTTCCTATTATTCTTTGTGTAATGCAAACAGCAAGTGTAATGTTGCTTTTTGAGCAACAAATTGAGCTGCAGATCAGGTACGATCTTTTCCTAAACATATCCAAGTAGGGTTGTTTAGTGCCTTAACCTGACCAAAGTGCAACTGTTTGATAACATTAACCATGCAAGCTTTATTTTGAAAGTCTAAGTGGACATTACATACATTGCTAACTCGGAGCTAACTGTGGAGCCCTGCGCATCCAGAAATGTCCCTGGAGTGGTACTTACAGCATGATAGTTTGAAGCGTATGGCCAATGACCAAGCAACTGTATTTGACAAGTTGGGAGTAAGAACGTGTTGGTGTACAATATCTGTGTGTTCGAGTCTGACTGATTTATGACAATGAGAAGGAGGGGTGGGGTTTTAGATGAAAAATGTTTTTCTCTGATGCTAAAAGTCACTGAAGCAGCAGCATATTGTATCTGTCTGCTGCAACATGTATGATGCAGTCCTGGTTTCTACACCGAGCAACAGAATGTGGTGAATATGTTCTGCCTTATCTCAGAGAAAGCAGAAATGTGTCTGCATATGCAGAATATTCACACATGTAGATACACAAACATCGGCACACACTAATGATGGTCAGGGCCTCAGTAACCTACCCACTAAGGCCTGTGTGTTTATTTGCTCCATTAAATATGTATTACTGCATATGGGCTGCATCTTTCTAGAGTAAAAGCAGGGGTGGAAAGAGTACTTGGATATGCGACTCAAGTAAAAGTTCTCTTACATTAAAGACATCTTACTCAAGTAAAAGTAAGGGAAGGGAAAGGGGGGGGATGAAGAAACAAATGTTTGAATCATATATGACATACTGTTAAAATAACATCATGAGGCTATAAAATCAATTATATTAAATGTCAACACATACAAACAACATCAGCAACATGAGCCCTGATGATCAAACCAACAATAAAATCAATTTTTATAGACTTTGCAGCCTGACGACAGATCAATTGTAAATAAACAGACTTCCTCAGTGTATCCTTTCTTGAAATAACCAGGAACAGAGAACAAAACTCAGACTATTAAACTAAAATCTAAAATGACTGGCAATAGATAAAAAAGCCTGGACAGGATGCATTATGAAGCCACATAAACTAAATAGCCTGAATGCATTGTTGTGGATTTTTTTTATTGCTTTGTACACTTGGCCAGTGAACATACAACCTGCATTCTCCAGAATGTCAGTGCCACCTCTCTGGACATGAAGCTCTCTGGACTCAAGAAGCTTTTTCTGTGCTGCTCACAATTTATAAGGACTTTTGTATGTGACTTTTTTTTAATCTGTAATGGATGCATCTTGAAATGTAGCAAAATAAGTACTTCAAAGTAACATTAAAGATTGTTAAAAGTACAACAAAAAACCAATGCCTTTGATAAATTAATGACCGTAAATGTAATCTGTTACTTCCAGCCTTTGATTTAAGAGATAAGACAAACTGAGGGCATCACTCTGCATAGTGGATGATAGCTGCTCCTCCACTCTCTTACTTGGGAAAATGCTTACTAATCCTAGAAGAAGCCTGGGAGAAGGCAGTGGTTGCTATCGATTGGTCTTGTCAACACTTGAACTCAAAGGCTTCAGCAGAGCTTACTGTCAGCCTTCTGCTGCTGGCTCTGCCTTAGCAACAACATGTACACATAAGTGCGATAGATAAGGTTTCAGTTGTAATGGACTCCACATGAAATGACGTGTATATAAAATATACACACAGTACCTACCTGTGCTCCACTTTCCAACTTTCATTGTTTACTGTGTATATTTGTATCCAAGCCCATCTATTAGAATGTAGTGAAACAGAACTATCAGTACCTTGGGATCACAGATGTTATCTGTACAATCAGATAAATCCTGTGAGACAGGAATACTGTGAACACTGTGTTAAAGCACTAATTACCATTGATAAAAAGCACTGACTACATCATGTGGGTTGTGTTCCAGCTTTCTAGCTCACTGTCAATTCACCTGACCCTGCTCCGTTCAGCATACTGTACTTTTTCATGTTTGTGCTTATCATAGGTTTATTTTCCTCTTGTTTATGCTGTCAGTTATTCTGACATTCTTAGACTCCCAGCAGATCTACTGTATCCTCTTTCAGCTCCAGAGGACACAGACATTAAGGCTGTTGTTGTTTTGCTGACAGCTTGTTAATAAGAAAGTGAAAAATGTCCCATTCTCAATAAAGCTCCAAATAAAGAAAGTGCTACACCTGCTGATGTTGAGAATAGTTGCATCAACTAAGGGACAAACAACACAATTCACTGTTCACAGCTGAGTGCTGCAGGGACCCTACTCCCAAATGGCCGGTTGTTACCACAGAGGCTACTCTCTATATCTTTTCCTATGGCCAGTGAAATCCCAGCATGGGTCTAATGTTGAGCCAAAGTGCACCCAGATAGTGCATATCTTTCTTTCACTGCATCTCAGCTTTATAAGGCCCTTTTTTTTCCCAATATACCCAAATGATCTCCCTCTCTGCAGGAAGCTTTTTTTTTTAACAGCCTCTCAAGTGCCTCTTCTGTGCACTTCTATCTCCTCCATGTTTCAGATTAAAGGCCCTATCACCACAGCGCGTCCTTGGAAATGTTTATGGGTGAGCACATTAGAGAAAAGTCACAGCAGTTAGTAAGACGCTCGAGTCGAGTCAAGTATTTTCACATATGCAGACTTGGAGCTTATTTCCATAGAAATGGTCTTAGGAGGTTATTGTGAAGAATTCTCCTGCTGTTAAGAACCCTCATGGGTCACTCTACCTACCTCAATGGCAGCATTAGCTCTTCAGCAGCTCTTATGTGCCAGTCAAACACTGACTCACCCTAGTTTTAAGGTTAATTTGATTCACCTACTTAACCAGCTGTGTGTTTTGTTTGGAG